ATAATTCTATCGTGTGTAATATTACTTGTAATACAATCAGTCGATAAAACAGGATTATATATATGTATATGTGTAAAAGCAAGAATTTATAATTCACCGTAATATATAGAAATATATTTTTTCAAAAATCTTGAATAATAAATATATTTCAAACTGTTAGCCATTATGTAACATATATATTATCAAGCAAACTATCAATGATTTAGATATTATAAATATTTATCAATTAATAATCTGTTTATTAGGCGTGCTTGCGTGCTGCAGCAATGTTCGCCGTATCCGGTGATCAACTAAAACAATCAAAAGCATCTCGTTCAGGACTACAATTACCAGTAGGACGATTTTTTCGCTGGATGTCTGATGTACGACTAGGAAGAATGATACATGAATATGCAGCTATATATTTAACCGCTGGAATCGAAAATTTATTGGAAGAAATACTATTGCAATGTATACCGACTGATTCTCATACAACTTTAACTGCAACTATGTTGGAACATGCTATTGCAAATAGTGGAGATTTATGGGGTCTTCTTCAACCTTATGCACACCTTAATGCTGGTCGAACAGCATCAGGTAAATTTAGAAGCTAATTATTATTTAACAATTATGTATTTATTATTGCTAATAACTGTTAAAAGATAATATGAATATATTAGAAAAATTATTAAAAAAAATAAAAGGATTTATTTAAAATAAATTGAATTAAAAATCTTATTAATTTAAGATAAATATTAATTAAACTTAGAAAAATTTTCCGTTTTATTATAAAACTTTTTAAATATATAATAATCATCACTATTTTTTTGACATTCAAAAAAAACAAAATTTTAGAATATATATAATAATATTTAATAAATAAATAAAACTTTATATCTGTCATATTATTGCTCTTAATTTAATATAAGTATTCTATTTTAAATTGTTCTTAAAATTAAATTTATTAAAAATAAATTTATTGAATAATTTGAATAAAGAATAATATTTTTATTAATACATGAATATTTTTTTTTATATTATAATATTTGTATATATGGTATTATTAATTTATGATAATTAGTATGATATAGTATAATATTTTTCAGGCGCACTTGCCATGCCACGTTGGGCCAGTGTCAGTTCTTTAAATTCTTCGTCATCATCCCGTAGCGGAAGAGATGCAGCGGGATCAACATTAGAACCATCACTTTTAACCACCTGTGTAGGATCGATATCGGAACTAATAGATTTGATCTCGAAAGTGGCGCAAGCTGGACGTTCAACTATACCTTTGACAACAAAGGCATTGAACGCTCTCTTTTATTACATGAGGTGTTCACAGGTTTGCCTATTTGATTCTTATCTACTGCCTTAACTATTGGCTTTGTCTTTTAAATGTAAAATAATGAAGCAGTATTTATGCAGTTAGAACATGGTGAACGAGGTTCTGGAATACAAGAGCTTGCGTATGAACGAGCATACGTTGTACTTCCACCGCTTGTCGAATGGTTAAGAGTTGCGACTGCTCATGCAGAACATAGGCACGGACTAGTTGTAGATCAAGATGATATTAATCAAACTGCCAGATTGTTATTGCCTGGTGTAGATTGTCCCGTCAGACCCATATGGTATATATATATTCATATATATATTTACGTTCTAAAATTTAGTTTCAACTATTAAAGTTAACTTTTATATTTGTTTTTTATTTTTCTATATATGTTTATTACTTTCTTCGTTAAAAATATTTTCTATTAAAATATATCATAACAATATTCAATTTTTTTTTCATAGTTTCGAGGAAATTTCAGTGTGTTCGAAACGTATCGATGACTCTGAATATGTTCGTCTTTTAACTATGGATATGGCATTCAAGATGTTAACAAGTGGTCGTGCAGATCTCATAGCTCAAGCTATACCTTTGTTGCCATCAACAAAACTTAATACTGTGAACGATAATGGTTTTACTGCATTAATGATAGCATGTATAAATAATGATGAAACAGCTGTTCTAGCATTATTAGACGCTGGCGTTGATTTGAATATCGAAAGTCCACCTCCAACTACTGGACAATCAGCAAATACACCTTCCAAAACACCAGTTACTCCAAATATATCAAATGTTAGAACTCCAGTCGCATCATCATCATCTATAATGACTCCAGGAAAAAATATGCAATCTCCAAATTCGTTTTCCAGTTCACCAAACATATCCAATAGTATTTCTAATAACATATGCTGCAATCAATCTGGATTCAATGCAGAAACACAACATTGGACTGCTTTAACTTACACAGCATTATTAGGACATTGTAACATTGCTAGAATATTATTAGAAAGAGGTGCAACTGTTGAAGGTGGTGCTAAATTAAGCGAAGATAAATCCACGGTTACGCCATTGCAAGCAGCTACGGCATCTGGTAACTCTGAAATGGTAGCACTACTTTTAGCTCATGGAGCCCAACCATTTTTATCAACTTTGATAAAAGACTCATTTTCATATTCTGGTTCAGCTCAACGTGGTTGTTATAGGCAAGTAAAACGTATCTGTTTATCCTAATAAAAACTTTTAACATTTCAATCAAGTAAAATTCGATAGTTTTTGATTTTGAGAAATCAAAATAGGAATATTTTAAATAATTTTTAAAAAAATTCATCATTTCATCCTATATAAAAAAATTGTTTAAGTAATTAAATTGTTTAAGAACAATAAAATGAAGTTAATTTATATATTTATAGTGCAATATCAGTAGCAACAGTTCATGGTCAAAGGAATTGTCTACATCAATTGTTATCTCATCCATTAAATTTCTCGGCCAAACGAGGAGAAAAAGAAGTATTATCATTAGAAGAAATTTTGGCAGAAGGTAGTGCCAATACTAGTCCACAACAACAAACTGTAGACGGAAGAGGAAATAGAAGAGAAGGAAAAGAACCAGTTTTTAATAAAGTTCAAAATAAAGCTTTACAAGAAGCGATGTATCATAGTGCGGAAAGCAACCATTTAGGTAAAACAAAAATTTGAAAATGACTATTTGAAAAAAGAATTTTAAATATATCTATACAAAGAATACTTAAATATAATTTTGTAGATATCACAATGGAACTTCGTGGATTAAAAGTGGGTTGGACATTACATTGTTGGATGCATAGTTTAGCAACAGCTCATGAAATGAGATTAGATTCTATAATAGATCAATTGCTTCAAGATTTTCTTCAAGTATGTCCAGATGATTATTCAACACAGTTCGTACAAGAATGTCTTCCTTTATTATTCAATATTTTTAGATACAGTAAGGTAAGTCATAGTTCAACTTGATTTTAAAAAGATTATAATAAAAAATATTTTTTTATATTTTTCGATTTGTATTTTTTCTACAGAAAGAAGGTACGACGCTTCTTCTTGCAGATATTTTTTGTACATGTTTTGGATGGGAACCAATAAAACCCATTCGAGACACAACACTTTCTAGTGGATCTAGAATAGATCCTAAATTTGTAAATAATCCAGAATTAAGCGATGTACAATTCAGAGTAGAAGGCAGAGTTTTCTATGGTCATAAAATTGTTTTGGTTACATCATCACCGAGATTTAGGAATATGTTAAGTTCGAAATTGTGTGAGGGAAATCCTCCTATTGTACAAATTAATGATATTCGTTATCATATCTTTCAGGTATGTAATATTTTAAAAAAATTAAGAATTTTAACTATTTAAAACTTAAATTTGTATTTTAATATTTAGATGGTTATGGAGTTTTTATATCATGGTGGTTGTGCTAAATTAGAAGTTAATCAAAGTGACGTTTTGGAATTAATGGCTGCCGCGAATTTCTTTCAATTAGATGGTTTACTTAGGTACTGTGAGGCACAATGTTCTTCAATGGTTGATCTTGACAATATCGTTTCTATGTACATTCATGCAAAGGTATTTTAATTAAATATTTTATGTATATAATATATGTATATAATATAATATTATAACGTATCTTTTAATAATTATTTTCAGGTTTACAATGCTATGCAACTTCTGGAATACTGTCAGGGATTTTTATTACAAAATATGGTTGCTTTATTAACTTATGATGATTCAGTAAAACGTCTATTATTTGCCAAGAAATTGCCTAATCATGACGTTCTCGCAGGACTCCTTCTTACTTTGCAAGCAAGAATAAAAGCTAGACGATCTCAACAACAAAATAAATTAAAAACTTAGAAATATTATGTTCATATTAGTATTATAATTTTTATTTTTTCTGTTGTTGTCTTTTTGTAATTTTCAATATATTCATATATGATTATGATTTCAATTTAAAAAAAAAATGATACATAAATGTATTAAGACTGAGTGCTTCATGAATCATTTTCAAATTTTTTGTCAAATATTTAAGTATAATTGTGTTATATAATATTAATTAATATTATTAATTAATATAATATTTGCATTTTATTCAAATTAGAACATGTTTCTGTTTCATTCTTGTATGATATTTTTTGCTACATATTATAAATGTATATTAGATATTGTTCAAATCATATAAATTTCGTTGTTAATATGTTATATATAATATATATATTATATATAATATATTATATATTGTTCAAATATATAATTTACGTTATTACAAATAAATCTTACATTTATAAAAAATAAAAAATTTAATTTTCAAAAATAAATTTGTAATCATAAATTTTTAAATAATCATGTAAATATAAAAGTGATTATTATTATAATTATAAAATATAGAATATAGTATATGTTATAGAATAAGTTCATAGTGACATTAAACCATTAATATATATAATAAATAAATATATATATTATGTATATAAAATAAACTAAACACAATTTAAATAAACATAAACAAAAAAATGTAGTAAAAAATATTAAAGTGCTATCTCATGTATTGATAATATCATATAATTTGTACATCTCGATTACAATAAATTATAAATATTGTGATAATGAAAATATTAAACAATAATTGTTTTTAAAGCTTAATAAAATTGTTTATATTTTTTTATCATATTTTTATTATATATAATTATTAAACTTGATGATCCTTATCACAAAAATATTTATAATAGAAAAAAAAAATTTGAAACATAAAAAAATTAATACAAAACTATATCATTCAATAATTTTTTAAAATCTTTTATTAATATATATATGTATATATATATATATATATATATATATATTCTTTCATT